TAAACCCTAAACCCCAAAAGGTTAAAGGCTACCTACTCAGCCACTAAGATCCGGTTACGGCTCAGGCTCGCCGGCCAGAGGTGGCTTAGGGTTTAGGGTTTAGGGTTTAGGGTTTAGGGTTGGTCGTACCCCCAGGGTCCAAAGGACCCAAATAATATAGGTACCCCTAGGGTGTAGGGTTTAGGGTTAGGGATTAGGGTTTAGGGTTTAGGGTTTAACCCTAAGGGTCCAAAGGACCCAAATAATGAGGTACTTAGGTTTCGGGTAGTATAGTTATGTAAGTTACTATTTGGGAGAGTTTATGGTTATTCGGTATTTGGACCCGCGTTAGGGGTAATCATCATCACCGGCATCAGGGTCACTACCGTCGCTACGACTACGATCATCACAATATGCTGCACTAGTGCCAACCTATTCTGTCTCCGATGACCACTAGTATCAACCATGTGTGATGCCTGGTTGGTAGGATTGTTGTCTAATTATTGACCACTTGGTTGCTTACTGACTTCTTTGCTTACTTACTCTCTACCGACTCACTCAACTACGCAATCTCTCTCTCTCTCTCTTTCCCTCTCTTCGTCTCCTTTTCCGCGGAAAGCATATATACACACACCCACACACACTCCATATTACCTGAATGCTGCAAGCCCGAAGGTCGCGGAAGCCAGAACCGAGGGCGCCCACCAGTGGCACCAGGTGGGTGTCGATGAAATCGCTACCAACCACCTGGCTTAACCGTGATTTAGGATTTAGGGTGTAGGGGTTTCGGGTTTACGGCTTAGGGGCTGAACTGCGAAATTACTCGACGCTTCGGGTGTAAAGAAGCCTTCGACATTTAATCGCCGGATTCTAGAAGGAGCAGATTTCAGCGACGAGGATGCATGGAAGTGATGACGAACCCGGCAATGTTCAGGACCCTGAATTAAGGGATGTGCGGATGCTATTGAAGCCCCTGAACTGCTGACCCCACTCATTGACAGTTGAAAAATATTTGTAATATAGATACATGAGGCCCAAAATAGTGGCCGTTATATGCTGCTGTTGCTACTGTCTGGGTCCAGTACCCAGCCTCTCAAAGAAGCCCCTCCCGAGCCACTTCCAAAGCTCCTCACCTCGGACAACGAGCGCGCAGACAAGATGGCAGAGATCCGGTAGAGGTAGTTCTTGTGCTCCACCAAGGCCTGGCTGAAGCTAGCATCAGGAACCCCCCAAAAACCTCATGAAATGAATATATATATATATATATACACATATTATAACTATAATAATGACCTTTTAAAGAGGTAGTTCTTGTGCTCTACCAAAGCCTGGCTGCAGCTTAAGGGAACATAGAACCCCAAAAACCCCTATTCTAAATCGGCAAAGCTGAAAGGGGGCTTTT